AGAATTTACCATTGCCTCTCCAGTAGAAAAAAAAAAAAGGATGTGTCTGCCTTTTTTTTTTTGAAAGTCAGTTAACAATAAATGTCACTTTGTTCCTGAGAGGTCGTTTTCAGGAAATCACACAGGGTCCTGTGTAGATGTTATTGAACACTAGTTAATGTTTGCTAGTCAGAGCAGCAATTCACAGCTGTGTTTTGTGGTGCTGTAAATAGTCAGTCAAATATAGGAAATCCTGACTCTTATTTGTCAAACATTTTTGCCATCCTGTCTGAAAATGTGTGATCTTATTCAGTTGTGATGAATATTTCAAAGTTATTTATTTTATTTTATTTTTTAAGTATGTAGTAATAACAGTCTTTGTGCAAGAGATGTTGAAGAGGATTTGCTGTGGCTTTGTCTCCATGTCTGCTGTCTTTCCTCGCCTTCTTCCTCTGATGTGAAGAGGCGGTGATGGGGATGGAAGCACTGAGGATGTTGGATTGATTCTTATCCCTGTCTTCTTTCAGTGGGGGGAAGATAAAGATGAGAGACAGGGAGTAGTGGATGAGATGGGAAGCGTCAGGAGAGCTACTAGGAACAAGAATCGAGAGCTTAAGAGGAGGAAGAGGAGGAGGAGGAGGAGGAGGCAGCTGTTTGGAAATGAAACTCAGCCCCCAGGTGTGTCAATCAGTAGGCGGGTGTTTCCTCTCTCCTATAAGTGACAGCGTACAGTACAACCAGGAAGTGGAGATCAGTAGAGGAGCATAACCCAGGCGTTTGTGATCTAGCGGAGGTTCGGTCCTCTGCGCACCGACTGCCAGCATGCAGTTCTGGGACTTCCTGGGCTGCACCAACGGAGGTACGTACGTGTGCAGGCATACTGATGCCTCGGTGCTCGGCTCTGATTGGACCGGGAACTCTGTGCTCGGCAGGTAGAAGCGTCTGGCAGGCTGAAGGCTGGAAAGGAATTTGTGCTGCTCACCGCTGTGCATGCAGTTGCATGTGAAAACCTCACAGACGGGTAGAGAGTGAAGCACAAACAAAGACAAAGATATGGTGTCAGCTGCTCTGTTTGTCTTTGATAAACCTGGTTGGCTGCAGAAAAAACAGATCTGATTGATGAACTAAGTGGCACAGTTTTGGGTTGTTTTTTTTTTTGTTGTAGTTGTTGCCCTGAATATTTTTGGATCCTTATCTTCATGAAGCGTAGCGTGACTGTGCTGCTCTGTCTACACGGATGATACATTTATCTTTTAAAATTCCTACAAACCTGAAGCTGGGATCTAACAACCACTACTACAACTACACTAACTTCTGTTTCTGCAGCTGTTACTGTCATTGCTATTATTCCTCTCACTCCCGAGATAGTTCCACAGAAGTGCTTACATACATTACAACAAAAAAACAGTACACAGCTGCAATGTAACAAATGTGCTTACTAATAGGATTCAGCTTAACTTGAAGTAGGATGACCTCTGACTTTGACCCTAATGTTGAGTTTATTTGCGCCCAAACCAGTTATTCTTTCAGGTCATCCTTTGCATCTAAACCTCTGTTCATACCAGTAAAAAATGTTGTGTGCTTCACATATGGTCTTTTTGGAACCTGATCTCCTGGACTCCCTTGGGCTGAGCCATGTCTGGTCATACTGTTACCACAAAGAGTTAAACATGGGATTTCTGCCTCTGTACAAACACAACGAAACAACAGCAGCCCACAGCTATCAAATGTCCCTTTCTGTGTTCACAGGGCCACATGTAGGTGTGCAGCTCAATCCAGAAACAAACAACAAACATATGAAACTTTAGAGAAAATCTCATGTCAATACTGAAAACAGTGAGCAGTTTTTGCAGCTAGATGGTCCTCAGGCCCGTGGCAGTGAATGTGTCTGCAACAGAAGTTTATGATAACACAGACATCCCCTTAATCTATAAAGGATGTAAAGCTCTGCCTTATGATCTCAGCTAAGTTGTGTTGTCTCATGTCTTGCCTCAAATGTGGTTTCTTTATTGTGCTGTATTGAATTCCAGGACAGTTGTGCTTCCAACACCCATCCTGTGCCTCAGGCCATGTTTTCTGCTGCTGCTCTAATAGCTATAGCTGAGATACCTGATGGTTTGTGTCATGATCTGCACATTTACTACGCGGAAGAAGAAGACACTGTTGGATACAGTTATTTAAGTTTAAGGCATCCGTGTATGTCTTTACAGCCACTCGGTCTCCCGTCTGAAACTGACAGAGGGTTTGTTGGAGTTGTGGTTGTCAGATTTTGGGACAATACAGCAGCAGAATGCCTGAAAACAAGATTACAAGCATGAAGCTCTGTGCCACCGTCAGTCTGCCCCTATTTGCATCCGTAGCTCACTGTTTTGCTTAAGTTATTCCATTTGGTCAGCTCTTACTCTCCGGTGCTGTGATTGTAAAATGACCCAAACGCCTCAGTGCAATATAGTTTTGCTGTTATGGTTTTCATACAGTTCTAGATTGGTCTTCGAAGCAACTTTATGTGACCTGACATCACCTTTAGCTTTGGAAAAAAAATCAGAACACCTGTTTCTAAAATCCATACAGAACACAACATCTGTTTGAGGAATGGAAAAATGCCATCAGATTCTTGAGTTGACATTTATCACATTAGGGCCGCAATAGTCAAGCTGAGTATTTCAGAAAGAATACGGATAAAATCTGAATTAGCATTTAAGACATATTAATATTGGCTGCCCCTCATAATGTGTTAGGTAGTAAGTCATAGATGCTTTTCTCTTTACCTTAGGTTTGCTGTTTTCTGGAGAAATGCATCGAGCAGGTGAATATATATTTACAGTTTAGTAACTACAGATCGCTTTGAATTCATGTTTAAATCTGAATAATGTTTCAACTTATAAGGTTGTGCAAGTGTGCTGCTGCAAAATGAAGTGTAGCTCAAGTGTTTTTAAAGTAGGAGCAGATACTTTAACCCAAGGCCGGTCCACTCAGGCAGTTTAAATGTCACATCACTGTTGTCTGAATATTTTTTCTTGTCTGTTTTCATGTCAGACAGCGGGCACTTCTTTCACAATTAGGAGGGATTCATATAAAGACATACGGCAAAGTATCAAAAATGTTGGGTATCTAGTATCAGGATCCTTTTTCTCAGTTTCTGAAGGTTCTGTGGGGCCCCAGAGACGCAGTGGTTTGGATTAATGTATTTATAAAAGTCTGAACGTTGACTTTGGTGCAGTGCACCGAGGTAGAGCCATAAAAGGGATTGTAAAAAAGGCTTGTTTGTGTAAAAAAAAGAAAAGAAACGATAAATCAATGAATTCAGAGAAAAACTGCATGAATAGCAGAGAATAAAATGCACGTCGTGTACAATAAAACCACTGACTTTGTATGGAGTGAAAAACATTTACCCTTCAAATGAAACTGATAATGAGATCCGCAAATGAAGCAGCCACATAAAAGGTTTAATACACTTCAAAAGCATCATCATTTATTTGAAAACCAATGACTCCCTATACGTAAAAATAATGAGGTTGCGAGCTGAGTTAATGAAACACCTGCATCTGTAAAGTTTTGCGTCCAACAAATCCATCTTTAATCTTCTCTTGTTTGATTTGAAAGGCACAATAAGAATATTATAATTGAGTGTATTTGGTGATGGGAGGAAGACAGTGACAGTGAGTGATGATAGGCTGTCAGGAAACAGATGTGAGGGATGTTAGAAACTATAAAGGATTTGTTCTGTGTGCTGCTGAACTCTTGTGAATTGATGTGGGAGCACCGGAACATGCGGTGGATCATTATGTTGAAGCAGTTGCATTGACACACACACACACACACACACACGCACGGCTTAACAAATTGAGCATGCAGCTTCATTTGTAGAAAATAAGCTGACAGTCTGACCTCTGCTGGGCTGTGCACTGTAGTTAATAAGATAAGATATGGACATTCTTTAGTGACAATTCAGTGTTACTCGTTTGACAATAAATAACCAAACACTGATCCGCCACAACATTAAAACCACTGATGTGACGTAATTAACAATGATCGTCTCCTTGCAGTGACACCTGTCGAGGCCTGGGATACATGTGTTGAACAAAACTGATGTGTTGGAAGCAGAAAAAAAGTACCTTATATGCAAAAAGACAGATATTGGTAGTCGGCTGTTTTTTTTTCCCCCCCTTAAACTCCTCATCATGGTTTCGGATTATATTTTTTCTTTTCTGGTGAGAAATATATAAAGTTTTTCACACTTATGCGTGGCCTTCTGTAGGATATGAGTCAGCCTACTTAGCACACAGAATTATGCTTTAATGTCAGTTTTTTAACACGCCAGGGTTGCAACTGAAGCAATAAAACTGTGTTACAGCCAGAAAAGTACAGCTAAGCAACGTGTTCATTTAACAGAACAAGCAGTTGTAATTACAGTCCGATCTACTCGTGTTCTAATAGCTTGGTAGTGATATCAATATTCCTGTTAACATTCACACAGTTTCTTTTTTGTGCAACTTTCCTTCCTGCTTTGGCTGCTGGAGCTGGTACTTTCAGTCTGTATTGTGTGTTTAAATGATTTCTCTAATCTTGTAGTTTTATAAAGTATATATTGTATATTATATATATCGTAAATATTTCCAGGTGGTAACTTTTCAACGTACTCTGGGTTTTAACTGATTTGGGGAAACTGCAATTTCCTAATATGCCCCATGAGCTTGGAATAAGCTGCAGAAAGATCTTAGATTAAAAACATTCATATCAATTAATACATTTAAGGGCATCATATAGAATGTGGTGACGGAGACATGTGATTGTTTGTCTTGAGAGGTCCACTATGTTTTAATAGTTGTGCTTGTTTATGTATATATATACATATCACTATGGTGCGAACAGACCTGTCCATGTTTGTGACTCGTCCTCTGTCACTTCGTCTTTTTCCTGCGAACATCCAGATTCAGGGCTGCAAGGAAGTTCAGTGGTTAGCTCCGTCGCCTTGCAACTAGAAGGTCACTGGTTCGTGTCCCGGTGAGGACACCCGGGATCTTTCTGCGTGGAGTTTGCATGTTTTCCCCGTGCAGTGTGGGTTCTCTCCGGGTTCTCTGGTCCAAAAACATGTTGAGGTTAATTGGTGATTCTAAATTGTCTGTAGGTGTGAATGTGAGTGTGCTTGGTTGTCTGTCTCTAAGTGTAGCCCTGTGATAGACTGGTGACCTGTCCAGGGTGTCTCCTGCCTTCACACTAAGTCAACTGGGATAGACTCCAGCCCCTCGTGATCCCAGTGAGGATTAAGCAGTGTATAGATAATAGATGGATGGACATCGAGGTTTAGAAACACTAGATTAACTTACCAAGCAGCGTTGTAATGCCGCTTATCCCTACTACGGTTGTTTGGTGTAGTGAAGCCAGATAACACAAAGATACCCTGGACTCTTCAGGTCTCAGATCACCTTCAAAGGTCTCGTGGAGTCCGTCAACTGTCTTCACAACGTAAATCATCTTCACACAGTGAGGTCAAGACCTTGCAACATAAAAAGTGCAGATGTGAAAAAGGACGCTAGAGTAAATGACAGATGCCCTCTGCAGTAGTCCCAGTGCTACAATAACATTTTTACAGCTGCTCCTTACAGTGACAGTTACCTCATTAAAGCTGACTCTGTGCTGCTCTCTGATGCTCACTTCAGTGCTCTTCCATTCTGTGGTGCTGCGTTCTGACAGGCTGATCAGTGCAGAGGAGCTGCAAAAGGCTGTTGTTGTTTTCTGGATCAGAATGGAGTTGTGCAATGCCCTCAGCGTGGTGTCAACTGGCGTAGCCTCTGTGGTTTGCAGCCAGAGGCAATAGTTTTAGTACTCTGAGTGGGAGAGAAAGAGAAAAAGGCTGATAGAGTAGGCGAGAGAAGGTCTGAGGAGCGTTTATACGAGTGAAAATGTCTGAGGCGGCTCTAGTGACACATGCTTCAGTGCTGATTTTAATAGATGCCTCTAATTTTTAATCCCAAAGTGGGAAGCTTGCATTGGGGACGTTGTGAACATTTAAGAAATATCAGTAGAAAACTAAAAATAGTAGATTTTACAAATTCCTCTACATATGGTATTGCAGATATTCTTTCATAAGTAGAAATACTGTTAGAAAATTACTTATTTTGCACATTTTTATCTTCATTGCACAGATTCTTGTATACGTACAAAAATACTGATATTGCACAGAGTTTTTAAATGTGTAAATGATCCATAATGGACATGTTTAAATGTGTTTGTTTGGCTCATTTATGGATCATGAAAGGTTAAAATTTCTGTAATGTTTGGTGATATTCACATATTTTGTCTGTTTGGATGTTTGTTTGAAACCAGAAAAGTCTGTTTTCATAGATTGTATAAAGAAATGACATAACCGTCATGATGCCACCCTGGTTTTGGATTACTGTTTTAAAGCCTAACGTTCGACGTTTTGGTCATCTTGGTTTTTTGGAGCCTTAAGTGACCATATTTGCATGAGATGAGCTGGAATGAACCTCGGGGTGGATCTGACAAGGTAGCCACATTTGAGATCAGAAACTTCTCATGAAAATGTTTACTGAGGTAATGAATCAAGTAAGGAGTCGTGTCCTGTTCTTGTGCACGTCTATACATTCTGACTTCTTTTTGCAACCAGAGGAACGGCCCCTGCTGGCGATCAAAAAGAATACAGACCCAGATGTCCTCTTCTTTCATACATTCTGATCTTTCAAGGGCAGTAGTGCGTCAGTGTGCTACACATTGATATATTTTTAACACCAAAAAACATTTCAATACATGCATAATCCTTTGGCCTTCTTTGCTGAATGTGCTGCCAGTGCTGGCTCCGAATCAGAGCCGTAATGTTGCATTCATCAGCAGTGAATATTAGACGCAGAGTGATGCAGAGAGAGAATAATGCCAGCATTGGTGTTGTGTCGCTTTTGTCGTTAGCATGCTACTTGTAGCCAGCGTTTGGGGCACAACTTTGCCAGGAACAAATTGGATTATGTGATTAGAGGAAATTATGTGAAGTGGCAGAACACACACTGAGCAGCTGTGAATCAAACCAAGAAAAATGTTAGAGAGTCAAAGAACATAATAACATTTTATAACTTAACACAAAACAACAGCCCTAAACTGTGTCCTAGTTCTGAGCTACGTTCTTTTAATGACCACATGTTGAGTTTGTAAGCGAGTACAGCAAAATACACCAGTACTGATACTAAATGTATTAATTTTGTAATGTGTTGTGGAAAACCATCTCTTCTTATTTTGTATGAAGGAAACAAAGTGATGTTACGTAATGTCACATTTCCATGCAGTGTACCAACTGCATACAGCATGCATTATATATAAAGTCTTGTAGTATGTGTGTTTGTGGTCAATACAAAAAATTCACATACTCTACACATGTTTGGTTTTGTTTGGTTTATCTGTATAGATGTTGTGCCTTCAGTAAACATAGGCTGTGAATTGGCACTATATAAAGAAAACTGAATTAAATTGAGTATTGATATATGTTTGCCATACTCTGGGAATATCACTGCCAGTTATACTTAACAGTCTTGCCGACCTTTCACACTCATTTTTCGTATTTTAGGTGTCTACAAAGAACCACCAAGCATAATTTGTTTAAAAAAGTCACCAAAATGACATCAGTAATCAGAGCCCGAAGCTTGAAAAACAGAAAGAATCATCAGATTTTCAACCAAATGTGAAGTTAACATTGAAATCACTTCATTTAAAAAAAATTAATTTGATTAATTCCTCCAAAACAAAACATTTCCACCTGACTGGAAAAAAACAAACAAAAAAAATCTGTGTTTTTTGGTGCAAACAAGCAATAATTGACTCAGCTGCCACAAACAGTCATGTACCAAAAAATGTTTGGTTGAACTGCAGGCGGGCTGCAAGGTGGAGCGGTGGTTAGCTCCGTCGCCTCGCAGCTAGAAGGTCACTGGTTCGTGTCCCGGTGATCACACCCGGGATCTTTCTGCGTAGAGTTTGCATGTTCTCCCCGTGCAGTATGGGTTCTCTCCAGGTTCTCTGGCTTCCTCCCACAAGGTCCAAAAACATGTTGAGGTTAATTGGTGATTCTAAATTGTCTGTAGGTGTGAATGTGAGTGTGCTTGGTTGTTTGTCTCCTAGTGTGGCCCTGTGATAGACTGGCGACCTGTCCAGGGTGTCCCCTGCCTTCACCCTGAGTCAACTGGGATAGACTCCAACCCTCCCGCGACCCTAGCGAGGATAAACCGGTGTATAGATAATGGATGGATGGGTTCAGAGGGTTACAATTAGTAGGTAATAGAGTACAGCTTAAAAAACACAATCAATGCAAAAACATCTCTCTCAAGTTTAGTAGTTTGCAGCTTTTTGAATTGCAATTCGTCCTTCATGTGGTTCTCTCGAGCAAATGTAAAGAAAAAAGTACATTTCATACAAATCATTTGTAACAGGAGCACTTGAACATTCTTCTACACCACAGACTCCACAGTAGTAGTAAAAGCTGTACAGCACTGGGACACAGCTTTCATCCCACTCGTATTATAAGACAAAGCCTTGGCATCCTTATTAGCACTACAGTCCTGCTTCGTTTCTGTTGCTTGGTAACAGATGCCAGCTTAGCTTCTGAGTGTTGGATATTTCATCATATTGCTCATTTTTGCATGAGAATGTTTTCAAGAGAGTCTGTGGGAAGCAGAAGGCGACTGAGGCCACGAGACAGATTTGAGAGTTGAAGGCGACCAGGAGGTGAAATTATTACAGCATGACGGAGCAGATATTTTCTGCCAAGTCATGATTCCCGCCTCGCTCCAGCTGTCTGGAACGCAGTGCAAATGTCAGATCCTCCTGATTCATTAGAGCTGGTGTACAGTCACTGGTTGGTCAGAGCTTACCAACATGTAAACTAGTGAAGATGCTCAGTGTGATTAGTCATTGACTCGTTATGAATTAGATTGGTTTGTCATAGCGGTCATTTGGTTAAAAAAAGTAAGATTCGTGGCTACCTTTCTTCGTTATCTTAATGATCATGTGGTTCAATTCTCTCTGTTTAACCCTGCTTTCTTGTTGTCTTAGGTTTTTCTTACGCCATCTGTATCAGAGCTGCTTGTAATGTACGCAATAGTTACATCACAGAATGAAGTAAAGTAAAGCAAAATAACTCAAAAACAACATACTGCAACTTTTTTTTTACCGCTTGACGTCTGTTTGATATAAGTTGTTCAGTTTAAAGGTTCCTGGGGTTTTTTTAAAAATCACACTTGCAAAGGTTTATTGACATACAGGCTTCATATGTGTACTAGAAAATGAGGAAGGAACAGGACAGAAACACTGAAAAGGAAGATTTGGTTGCAAAAAAAACTTTGGCCTTTAAGAGCTGTGCTGAATTGAAGTGAAGCAGAACCTTATTTTAACTGTCATTTTGATGCAAGTTTGTGCAGCACATCATTAAAATGAAAGCATGTTCTCTGTTTATTTAACTGTAATAACTGTGATCTCAGCATTGATCAAAATAATCAAGTTGATCAGCCTTGGTCAACTGTTTGGAAATATTTTAGCTACAGAAAGGGCTACATATGAACCAAAAACAGGCACTCTGTCAGCTTTGTGTGATGAATGCTAAACCAGATCTCAATGCCATCCAAAGCAAAAAAAACCCCCAAACAATTCCTGATGCCTTTACATTTGTTACACCACATGAGATGGACAAGTTCAGTATGTCTCTGAAAGAAGTGGCTCTGAACACAAGTCAAATCTTTCTGAGTGCTTAATCAGATATGTGGACTAATATCTGTTAAATGTGCCTAATTTGTAGGGTGAGGTTCAGGAGCGTCACATCCTTTGGGTCTTACAGAAACTCTGCACTGCTCTTTTGTCTCATTTATAAAATGGCTTAATCGATTTTAATGCTGCAGCTGTGAATTATTTACAGTGTAAGTCACTCAAACTAACATCCTCCTGTCTCTTTTTTCTCTCTTCTCTTCCAGACATTTCCAGAATATCATACTACGCAGGTGAGTCCATTGTTTTTATTGATTTAAATACTGGCGGGTGTTGTTGTGATTGTCTGTCAACTAATAGTAATTTAAATGTTTGACTCCTTTAAATCATGTAATGTAAACACATACCTGTGAGTTTTGTGTACAGGTGAACGCTTTATGAATTTCTGTACCAAACCAGTGTTTTGAAACTAACCTTTGCACTCTTCTACAATTTGTTTTTAAAAAGTCTATCAGAATTTAGCGCCCAGTCTAAGATTTTAATATGAACAGAAGTAACATCAACCATTTAAATGAAAACAACAGTTTCTGGTCAGTTTGTTTTTCAAAAGACTCGATGTTCTTTGGTTGTAGTTAGTTCACAGAATTGATGCAGGTAGAGCTCGATGATTTTACAGGTATAGATGTGACATTTAGCTCCACTCTCAGTCCTCGGCTGTTGCTAGGTAACTGATGATGGATGAAGGATGTTGTGTGTGTGTGTGTGTGGAACTGAGAACTAGTCATTCCTGAGAACTGCCAAAACTTACTTTACATTTCTTAAACTTAATTTTGGCAACTTTCCAATGAGAGGTGTTGCCAAAGTCGAAGTTAGGTTTGAGGTTAACTGAAATTTTAATTGATACGAGGCTCTCTGACTTTGCAAGAAGTTAACAGCAGCATGACACCTCGTGTGCATAAACTGTAGTGAGTCTGGGAAAACTCCTGCTGTCGTTTAAATGTATATATATTTATAGTTCAGGTAAACGTTAAAAGTTTTGATACTGAGCAGAACATTTAGCCTCTGTAACTCTGTTAGGAAAAAAATACCACCAGTATAAATATCAACAGTTATAACATGAAACATGTGGAGTCATGACTCAGTGGCCGCAGCACATCTTTTCCTCTCTATAACTTCAAGACCTGAACTGATCTCATACTTTATTTATTGTTTGCATGTCTAAAATAGATCCCTGTGCAGGACAGTTTTCTAAACCCTCTGAACTCGAGACACTTTCTGTTTTTTTTGTTTGTTTGTTTGTTTGTTTTGTTTTACTGTGGGCTTATTTTCTACAACATTAAATCATACACTTCTTTGGAAACAGTTTAGCTAAAGCTATGAGAAGAGACAACTCAAAAATATCTTTTGTGCCTTTATAATGTCATACATCATTAAAAAGAAAAAAAAAAGAATTTCCTTGATTTTTTATTTTTTTTTAAAACACTTGGTAGCTTAATACTGTAAATATTTTACTACTTAAATTGTTAGTCTTTATTTATACTTCAATAGTATATATTCTCTGTATGAACACTGGCTGCAGTTCAGCCCAGTGCAGTTGAAAAGTCCCTAGATTCTTATTACGTGAATGAGTCAGTCAGAATCTTCAGGATGAGTGCAAAAATGTGTTTGTTTTAATTGTCGTTAGAGTAAATTATGTATTTTTTTGGCATTTTTTAAATTGTAGAATAAAATGATTTGGCTGAAATATCATAGTTTTAAACTTAGACTAAATGAAGGTTCTCGATGGAACAGCATGTCAAAGATGAGTAGTTTAATGACCTTCAGATAAGTTTGAAGTCTAGCAATTCCTTCTGTTTTTACAGTCTCTGAATCTGGCGTTTTGTTTTTGTTTTTGTTTTTTTTTAAATTCAAAATAGCATGCCTTTCAATCTCACAGGCAGATTTTGGGGTTCAGAGGATTAATCCAGAGGTGCCACATTAGTTGCGTTGCGTTTCAGTATTTCACACATTTGTCACAACAATGTCCAATTCTTTTGTATTGTTGTCAGTAAAAAGTGTGAAATTCGTCCAAAAGCAAGGTTTTTCTTGCTTTGTTTTTGTATTGTTAAAACCCACTTTAACCTGCCGTTTGGCTTCATTTGTTCTCTCCATCCTTCCCATTGCAGTTTAAAATTCAATTCTATCTAGTCTGTCATCTACAAAACAAAACAAGGAAAACTCTGCAACATATAAACAGAGAAAATCACAGTATCAGTTGCTTTGATTTCTAAAAGCAAAATGTGACTATTTTGTGTGACAGTTGACATTTCTCCGTATGGATGTAGCAAAAAATAAAACCTTCTTAAAATGAACTCTTAAACATAACAATGTATGACACATGACAGTTGTTATAAAAATATATACTGTTTTGTTCATATAAAATACATATAAGGCATTCTTGCATTTGATAAAACGTGCTTCTCCGGTGGTGTAAAATCTCCAAGAAGCGAGCACACTGTCTTCATCCTCCACGCTGTCAGTGTTGTCAGTGTTTTGCAGCTGGAAGCTTAGCTTAGCATCCTGCGCTCTGTCACATCAGAGGGATTGAATGTCAGAGCGCTTTTACTGAGCGCTTTGCTGCAGGAGCAGGTGAAATCTGTGTGGAGGACAGAGGGCAGCAGAGACCGACAGACAGACAGACGGACAAGGAGGTGGATTAATGGAAGGAAACATTCAGGGAAACGAGTGTGGTGGTGACAGGTCAGAGAGTGGAATGTATGTTTTCAGAGGCTGATCCTGGTTAAACCTTGTGTGTGTGTGTTGAGTTCGTCTGTTCGTATGAGTGTTTATTAGTGTATTGATTAGGAGTGTGGTCTCTCTCTCACACACACACACACACACACACACACACACACACACACACACACACACACACTCTCACTCTCCCTCCCTCTGGTTCTGCCTGTTCGTGATCCGAGCAGCTTTATCGCAGCAGCTTATACTGAAAACACAGCAGAGGAGAAACACTTTCTGCTGACGCTCGCTTCATTTTACATTTCCTATATAACACACACATCTACCTGCTTACCCACTGCACTCCTGTACACTCTCACCCCTTGGTGCTCTCATTTCGTCTGCTCGAGGATTTCACCGTATGAAACAGCGTGCATGAGTTTGACTGCGGCACTGTGTGAGGTTGGATGATGTTGTGATGAAGCTGCTGCTCGGCTGCTTCTGAAGACTAAAGGACGCACCGCTGACTGAAGCGGATTTACTGCATCAAAGACGCTCCTGCAACATCATTTCTACAATCCCGCTTGGCTTTGCATCACAGCTTTTTTTTTTGTTTTTTGTTTTTTCTTGGCTCCACCTCTTCATTCAGGTCTCTGTCACTCTGTGTCCCTCTGTAACATCAGATACCTGCGCTGACCTGGTTAAACTCCTGCAGCATTCAGCCTCAGCTTCTCCCTGGGGTTTCTCCGCTTTCCTCCTTCATCCCACTCGCTTTAATTCTACTTCTCTCCCTCTCTTTTTGCGATTCATATTCTTTCCAGTCATTCTTTTTTTGATCATTTCGCTTCTATCGCTTCTTTCTTCTTCTTCTGTTTCTTTTGCAGTGTTTGCTCTCCTTTTTCCCTCCTTCCTCTCCCTCACTATGCTCTATTTCTCTGTCCTACATTTTTGTCTCTATTTTTCACTGATGCCTCTTTTCTTCTTTCTGTGATCTGTTTTTCCTTTTGGACAACAACTATGGATTTACAGAACCAAACTGACACCTTTCTTGGAAAATTGTGCTTTGGTGTAATTACGAGGAATATGCTGTCAGTATTTTTTTTTGTATGCGGGAAATTTAATTTCTGTAGGGAGGAAACCGTCTTTGATTGATCAGTAACTCTGCGCCGATGACCTGAAGCTGATATTTTGTGAGGATTTATCTGACCGCGAGGAAATCATCCGTCAGTCACAGGAGCCTTGAGCGTCTGTTTTGGAAGCTTTCACCTCACTGAAGTGTCCTTCAGCAAATTACTGTATTATCTGCCTCCTAAGGGGCTCAAACTCCCCGAGCTGAAGGAGCCAAAAAAGAGCTTCCTGACAGGAGATCAGTACAGATCACGTTGCACAATGGTAAAGGTATTTCGCCGGGTGAAAGGTCATGACATGAATTGGACGGATTGATTACTGAGACTTCCGTGAAGTAAAATGGTGTTTCAGCAGGCTGCAGAGGAGCGAGTCGCAGTCCTGTGATCAGCAGCTTGGATATTTTTTCACCAGACATTCAGATTTGAGCGTATTTGTGTTGTTTAGTAATTAGGTTATTATGCAAAACAAGCCCTGACTTTCAGATTAACTTTGTTTCGGACAGATTTAGCGTTGAGGCTGAGGCTGGAAGACAAATCTCTGCCTCAGTTAAAGGTGAAAACATTTGGAGCCCGTCTATCAGTTGGACTGTGATAAATAATGGAGGTCTAATGTAGTGGCTGGTGTTTTCTCTTCTTGCTGTGTCACCAGATTTCAGAGCACAAAGGATATTTGACATCCTCTGTTTTCACTTTTTGGATTATCTGTTTTACTGGAGTTAGTTACAACCCTGGGACACTGTTTTTTATTGATTTTTATTTTTCTACCATGGATACGCCTGTTAACAGTGGGAGCAAAGTTACCAGCACAGCAGCTCTCTGACTTTTTTGAAGTAGTTTTTGGACAGTTCCAGTGACTTTTTTCTACTTTTTAAAAAATGAATCTACCATCTTTTTAGTTGAGTTTTTTTTTTTTTTTTGAAAAAAGACAGAGTAGGAGTTGGTCCTAATCTTAAACTCTATGGTGTTTTTGGGGCCCAGAAGTTTAGTCTGGGCCCTGTGGCCCGAGCTGGAGCTGCATTCCCTACAGAACAAATGGAGAACAGCGGCTGCATCCCTCTTTGCTGGAGCAAAGGGGCCTGCATCTATGCACAGCATCCCCTACCAAGTATGTACTGAACAGTGTCAGCAGTAAGAGCGCTCTGTTTCTTACTATCACTAAACCTTTATCAGTTACAGCTGTAGCAGCAGATCCATGTTACTAGACTGTTTTCCAGTTGTGGCCCAAACCTTTGTGCATGTTCTGCGCCCCTGTAGGATACCTTTCAGGACAGTTTTCAGTGCCTGAAAAGCTGCTGTGTAGGTCTCTACGGTCATTGGTTAAACTCAGAGAAGGCAAATGTTGATTGGTTAAACTTGAAAAACAGCAAGCACCATTTCTGTGCCCTCTTGATATTTTTATTGATTAGCAGTCTGGCTAACTTATCAAACTTCCATTGTTCTACTTCGAATGTACA